TCACCGTGAGCTCATGTCTTTAGTACAATGTAACACCCTACCCCTCTGATTGATTAGGATGACACCAGGAACTTGTCTAGTTTCTCAGCTCGTGAGTTCACTGTGCATAAGCATAGGAGTGATAAAGGCCTATGTATATGGGAAGCTAGTCAGAGTGTGCGGCAGTCTAGCGTGGCGCTAAAACATTCCGTGATTGAGTAGGCGGTTAAGAGACTACTGAAATGTTAGAAGATTTGATTGTCGAGCCCTACAATTCGTGTGTTTTTGAAATTGGATGTTCGGTCAGCTTTTTTTACCTTTTTCCCGTGGAACCTCTCTTGTCCTCATCGTCTTGAAGTAACCATGGCTTTTTGTGGGAAGACTACTTTGTACATCATGGGCCTCCTGATCTTCGGCTCTCTCAATACTATGTGTACCAAACTCCAGTTTGAGATGACTTCGGTTGGTATCAATGGAGATGTGAAGCACTTTATGAAGCCGTGGTTCGGGACCTTAACCATGTTCATGGGTATGTGTATCGTTCTGCTCATCCACTTTGTCGATGTCTTCATTGATCGCATGAGAGCCAGGAGGCAGCACGGTGAGGCTTACGAGGCCTTATTGCGGCAACCACAACAGCAGCAGCAGAAGTTCGAGAATGCTACACCTAGTTTTTGGAAAGCTGGTATACTGATATTGGCCCCCGCTACCTTCGATTTGATCGCCACGACTATGTCCTTCGTGGGATTGTTGTATAATTCGGCGTCTGTTTGGCAGATGTTGAGGGGCTCAATGATCATCTTTTCCGCCATTTTCTCCGTCTTCTTCCTTGGTAGGAAGCTACATGGTTATCATTGGTTTGGGGTCCTCATGTGCGTGGTCGCCATCTGTTTAGTAGGCATCGCCAATATCATGTCCGGTTCTTCCTCTACGTCACATGCTAGTACTGGTCTAATGGTATTTGGTATGATTATGATTGTCGCCTCGCAAGTCATCCAATCTCTACAAATCGTAACTGAGGAGAAGCTCTTAAAGGGTTACACTATTGCTCCGTTCCATATTGTTGGTATGGAAGGTGTTTGGGGTACCCTCATCTTGCTCATCCTCATCTTCCCATTATTATATTTTATTCCCGGTAAGGATGAAGGGTCTGCCGAGAATACTTTGGATACTATGGTCATGATTGAAAACAATAAGAATCTACAGATAATGGTTGGTGTCTACATTGTCTCGGTTTTCACCTATAATATGGCTGGAATGTTGGTCACTTACGCTCTCTCCGCCGTACATAGGACAATGCTAGAAGCTACTAGAACTGCTGTAATCTGGATATGTGATCTGATTATCCAGTATCTTGTGGCTCCTGGTTCTAACTTTGGTGAAGTATGGACTGCATGGTCTTGGCTTCAGCTATTTGGTTTCCTTCTCCTGGTCATGGGTCAGGCTGTCTACTCTGATCTCGTTAAAGTTCCCGGTTTCTATTATCCACCAAAGCCGCAGGTGGCCGGGATGATGAAGTCACCAGCAAGTGTGAGGTTCAATGTTCCCGAGGTTGCTGAAGCTATCCCTGAGGGGCCTCGTCAAGGTTGAGGGGTGCTTAATGCGAACCCTGCCGTGTTGTATAGATTAGTACTAATGTCTTCTCTACTTTAATGATTCTATCGAATTAGAAGACCGAGTTCCACTCAGTTCGATGGTACGATGCTCGCCAATAGTCGGTCATCCAAATAGACTGACGTATGATGAGAGATGTTAACTCAGACAAGGGTAGCTGGTTGGTTCCTTCCTTCTTCGTCCTTTATTAATCATCGTAGCCGTACTCGTTCAACTTGGTATCGTCGGTCTAGGCCGCAA